GTGTGTATCTTTTCAACTTTTTTGAAGATTTTATTTTTAAGTAATCTCTACACCCAACATGGGCCTCGAACTCACAACCCCGAGATCAAGAGTCACACACTTCTCCAACTGAGCCAGCCAGGCACCCCTCTTTCCAGTATTTTTATATAAATGCAAGCTGATACAAATATATATTCTTCTTTTCCCCCTTTATGTCACAGAAGGTAGCAGACTACACAGAGTTCCACATATTCCCCTTACCTAAGGATAATTTTTGGACATGTTTTCGTATCATTACAAAGAGATCGTCACTATTCTATTTTATAGCTGCCTAGGATACCCTAGTTTATTTAACCAGTCCAGTTACTTGCTATTACAAACAGTGCTGCAATAAGTAATTGTGTGCAAACACAACTTCCTAGGAGTTCTTCATGTGTAAAGGATGGAATTATTTTTCCAGTTCCTAACTGTAAATCATCAGTTATGCAATTCTTGATAGGGTTCAGAAGCACAAGAAAATGATGTTTCTCATTAGAGCAGAAAGCAGGACACAATTTTCAAGCTCCAAAATCATGGAACCCAGCTATCGCATCACTTGTGGTATTGAGCCACAGGAGACACTACTCAGATGTCTCTTCAGAGAGAGCTAATGTAACAATAAACAAACTTATTTTAACAATAAACAAACAACAAATTTATTGTACGGACTCAGTTTAGAGCCTGAAAGTGATGATCAGGATAAACGTGACTTTTTGTTGCTCTACTTGGAAGAAAAGACAAAGATTTTTCCTCTAACATCCTAATTGAAATCAGAGCTTTCAATGGACTCCCTGCTTTTCTATCTATTGCTCTTGCCCTCTGATCCCCGGATCCATGAATGGGTAACTCTCCACTGGATTCTCCACACCTAGACACCTTCCATAATTTGTCCTCTTCCTCACCATCCCTCTGTCCCCATTCAACGAGTGGCCAATACTATCAGCCCCCCTTCCCAAATATTTCTCAAGCCATACAGTTCTAAGGACATTAGGGACTCATTAATCCCCATTGCTTCTCCAATTAGTCCCCCAGGGCCACCAACTATTCTGCCCACCTCCAGGAGAGGCGAGCTCCTACCCCTCCTTAATCCATTCTTACTGCAGAGTGATGTTTCTAAAACATCTACTGGGTCATGTCACTCCAGTGGTTTCCCACGAACCCCTAGGATATAATTCAACTTCCCTCACTTGGCCTACAAGGCCCTGCCAACCGCTCTGGATTCAATTCTCACCATCCTCCTCACAGTCTTTTATGCTCTAGCCCAGGGGTCCTCAAAGTGTGGTTCTGGACCAGTAGCAACAACATCCCATGCAAACTTGTTAGAAAGGCAAATTCTCAAGACCTACCCCAAATCTAACAAATCACAAACTCTGGGGCTAAAGTTTAACAGTCTGTGTTTTAGCAAGTCTTCCAAGTGATTCTTATCACCTGGTTTGGGAACGCCTGCGCTGTCCTTACTGGATTTACTTCATTCTGGTTCTAATTCCCAAGGACTGTAGATACCATGCCACCTTTCTATGGGCCTCACCAACCCTTCTTCTGCCTGATGAATTCCTACTTCTCCTGGTCATGCAGTCAGTCCCACTTACTGCCATGTATATGGTCCAGTGAACATGAGGCTTAAACCCAAATCTGTCACACACAAATGCCTATTACCAAGGAGGCATGAAAATCATCCCAGGATCTGCTGTTCTGGAAACTGAATGAAGATCCAGCTCTGTCCTCTGTATTTCAGCAAGCTCTGTATTTCAACAAACATGTGACGAAAAGGTACCATCTGAGACAAGGTTTTGAAAGGAGGATTCAGTTCACCTCAGATCGAAAAGCAGAATCTTCCTTGTCAATAGGGTGGATACAGCACACAATAGTGTTCTAGAGTCAGTGCTATGGTCTGAACATTTGTGTCTCCCCAAACTTCCTATGTTGAAAGCCTAACCCCAAAGGAGATGGTATTAGAAAGTGGGGCCTTTGAGAGGTGATTAGGTTATGAGGGTGCACCCTCATGAATGGACCTGGTTCCCTTATAGAAGAAGCCCCACAGAACTCCCTTGCCCCCTCAGCCATGTTAGGAAACAGCAAAAAGACCGCAGTCTGGGAAGTGGGCTCTTACCTGACAGGGAATCTGCCAGCAACTTGATCTTGGACTTCCCAGGCTCCAGAACTATGAGAAATAAATGTCTGTTGTTTATAAGCCACTTAGCTCATGCTTTTTTTAGTATAGCTCCCCAAATGGACTAAGCCAAAAACCCACTCCACTGGTGGGAGAATCCTGTTCTCATTCTTACTCTACACTGAGCAGGAGCTGCTTATACAATATGTCTTGCCAACTGGCTTCTCCATGAATAATTATCTCTAGTATCTCGATCTAATGAGTGAACTCTCCAGGTGCAGATTTAAATGGTGACACTTGATACAGTGGTCTCCAAAGTTGGGAATCTTTTAATGCTACTAACAGGGCTGGGGATTTGAATTACTGATTATTGTTTTCAAATGACAACTAATCACCTCTAAGGTTTAAACTATGTACACACATGCACACGCATGTGCACGCGCACACACACACACGCACACCCCCCACCTCCGCCTAAAGTGAAGAATTTTAAACCAGATTATAGATGACACAGCACCTGCAATAAATTGCCCAAGAATCTGCCTCTTCCCTTATCCCTGTCTTCATGCTATGCTGGGAGGCAGCGAAGGCACTGATGAGGAACATGTACTTTAGAGTCACTTGCTCTGAGTCCAAATGGAGTCCCTGACACTTCTTAGTTATGTAAGCAAGTTATTACTCAACCTCTCTAGGCCTCACTTTCCTTATTTGTAAAGTGAGGATGGTAAGACAGAATATGAGAAAATATGCAAAAATGCCTAGCACATAAGACAATTATTACTATTTCATCATGTACCCTGTGTCTTTCTACGTTCCCAATTTTTCTTTCTGCCAAGTCCACATTTTGCACCCATCCATCTAATCAATTTTATAGAGCATCTATTAAGTACACAGTTCTATGCCTGGCACTGGAAGACTCCATGATCAATGGGATGGGGGTCTGAGCCGACGTACTCACATGGAGGTTCAGATTTAATTGATGGTCAATGCTTATTGACTCCTCACAATATACCAAAGTGTAGTGTTGAGCACTTTGCACTCACTCATCATGACATTTGATTTTAAGCCACCTATGAGGCAGATATTCTTTTACCAAAGAGGAATCTGAAGCATAAACGAGTTAGTCGGGCACCTAAGGCTAGCTGGATCCAAACCCAGGCAGCTTGAGCCCCAAACCCTGCATGCAGGCCTGTATCACACCTATGGACCCTTCAGCTTTGGGTACATTCCTTTCTTCATCTCTCTCCTCCGGAAGCCTTATGAAAACAGCATTCAATTCTTCTTCTGCTTGAACTCTTAAAATTAGTCATCTTAAAAATAATTATCAATACAACTGTAGATGTTACAGTCCTCCTTTTTTTTTTTTTTAAAGATTATTTATTTATTTATTTATTTGACAGAGAGGGAACACAAGTTGGGGGAGGGGAGAGGGAGAAGCAGGCTTCCAGCAGAGCAGGGAGCCCGATGCAGGGCTCGATCCCAAGATCCCGGGATCATGACCTGAGCCTAAGGCAGACGCTTAACGACTGAGCCACACAGGCGCCCCTACAGTCCTCCTTTAGTTCAGATTTCCTTCTTGCCCAGCCTTCACAGAAGCAGCACAGTGAAGGGCACAGGACCTGTCACTCACCAGCTGTGTGACCTAGGGCAAGTGACACAGCCACTCTGTGCCTCAGTTCCTCTCACCTATAAAACGGGGATAACGTTAACTTCCTCAGAGGTGGTCCTGAGAGTCAAAAAAGTTAACACAGGCAAAGTACTAAGCACAATGCAAGGCACTTGGTAGGTGCTGTGTAAGTGGTAGGCATTGTTATTCATGCCATAATTATGTATTCATACTGTAATTATGGTCCCATAAGTCAGGGACCAATTTTTCTTGTCTTAATATCTCCAGGTCTGGTAAATCCTGTTCTTCCAACAGTATTTACTCAGTTGAACTCAAAAGAACCATTATTTCTTTCTCTTGGTAAATAAAAACAGATCATGCTAGAAGATGCTATGTTGCTGGGTCTTAACTCCTAAAGTCTTCCCCTTTTCCCTCAACCTAATCTTCACTATGAGAGGGGAAAATTCATTCTTTGCGTGGCAGGAACTGAAGACCCAGAAGAAAGAAGAATCAAGGAGTTTTTTGAAAGGCTAACTTCCCTAAGAAACTATTTTTCCCTTCCCTCCACTTTGCTCATCTTCTTGTTACCTAGCTACTTCTTTTCCTTCACTTCTCCTGATGTTCCCACGGACTTTTACATATCCACCCAGCCAACAAACGGAACCGGGCACCCACCATATTCAGCATTCTGAGGGCAGAAGGGCCAGGAAATAAGGCCCTGCGCCCCAAATCTTGGAGGAGGGTGAGTTAAAGCTCTCTGCTGCGTTTATCTTCCGGTATCGCTCCGCCTAGTGTCTCGGGATCAAAGCTCCGTCTCATCTTTCGTCTTGCCTTCCAGAAAGGCGATGTTTCGGCTCTGAACTCAGCTCCCCGCGGCCCCCTGACCCTTCGGTTTCCCCTTCTGTTCATTGGAGGAGCTGAGGTAAAATTTCGCAGCTTTTAGCAGCAAACTTCCTCTATCGTCCCACCGACGGAAGGGTGTGTTCTTGCCAAAGCTGCCGTACCCCGGGCTCTCTCTCCGTACGTGGAGCCTTGAACAGAAGGAGTCCGCGAGTAAAGGGTTCCTTGGACCTGGTGCGTGTAAATGGCCTTGAACCCAGGGCGGCGGGGCGGGGCGGGCTACCTGGACCTCAACGTCAGCTCTCAGGCAGCTAACCTGCTTACGGGGGGCGGGCGCCAGCCAGGGGGCGGGGCCGGGAGCCTGCCCGCCACGCCCTCGGGGGTTCTAGGCACCGCCTCGTCGCCACTGGGCACCCGGGCACCGGAGACCATGGGGAAGCTGATGGTTCTGACCCTGCTTGGGGCCGGCTTGGCCCTCATCGGGGAGCGGTTAGTGGCCTTTAGGTGAGTTGGCATCTTGATGCGGGCGTCCTTGGTTCTTTCTCTCCTCTTCCAAGTTTCAATGTCTGCCCCGTGCCACCTTCCTAGCAGGTAGGAAAGAGCATTTTTGGAACCTCACTCCTCAGTTCCACCCGGCAAGCTATCCCTTGAGAATCACTGATGTGGAAAAGTGAGCTGTTTGCCTTTCTTAAGATGGTAGAAATGCCCCCATTTATTTTCTGAAAGTCGTGCCCCCCACCCCACCCCCTTTTCCAGGTTGCCCTCGGCATTCTGCTCCTGGAAAAAAAAAAAAAAAATGAACTCCGTTGGAAGTGCTGGACCTGGAGGGACCAGGCTACCAGCTGGATTTTTACAGCCCACTCAGACATTGCCCAAGGCCAGTGCAACATTGATGAGTACTGGGGTACAGAGCTCATCCTAGATTAAAAGAGCTAGCCAGACAGCAGGGGAAAGAGCTGAAACTTGCAGGTGGTGACCACTGGCGTTTTTCAAGTATTAGGACCTTTTGAAGTGGCAGATCTAGCGTTGATAGGCAGAAATATCTCAGGAGAAGTCAATATACTGGGCTAGAAAGAAACGTTAGGTGTGATGTGCATTTCCGAATGGATCTAAAGCTTCTGCTTGCCCTCACTTGTCTTTAAGTTGCTTTTATTTATTTCTCCAAGCAGAAGCTGATCTCAGAAGTACACATTAGAATCTATTGGGAAGCCTGATGCCTTTTGTGAACACTTTCTAGTTCAGCTTGAGAATGTTTATTGTTACATTTGTTCCGAGCGCATCCAAGTGAGAGAATCATAAAAAATCATAATTGCAAGGTAGATCCAAGGTGTATTTTTACAGAAGTGACAGTAAGATAAGTCTAAGTGTAGACTCTTCCTGCATACAATCTAATAAAAATTTAAAATTATCCCTGGTATTTAGAAGAATGGTTCACTGTGAAAACAGAAACACTATATTGAAAAATAATTTGGCCAATTGTTTATATTGTGGTCAGTTTGATGACTTTTATACACTTTGTCAAATAAGTCAGCATAAAATTTTTTTAAATAATGAAATTAAAGCAAAAGCTACAGGGTTTAGCTATTAGGAGACACTTGAATTTGGGAAAAGCATTTTGGTGGGGGGTCAAAAGACAAGACTATAGGGGACCAAAGGGAGCCAAAGTGCAGATTTATAATAAATAATACTTTAGCAAATTATATAATACTACTCTGTACATTTCAAGTAATAATACTGTTCAGTTACTTATTCTATGGTATCATTTATCAGGCAGCAACGTGCTGTCCATGTATAATGGCATCTTAGGCTTTCAACAATAATTGGGTGAGATGAGCTGATATAGGTGCATGATATACACAATGTCCACATTATGTAAATAAGTATAAAGAAAAGGAGGTACGTACTTACTTGTTATATCATCCGTAAATGATGAGTGACAAAGTTAATGAACAAGAAGGTGATTCAAGACGATGTCTAGATACTGATTTTGGGTGTTGTGCATCGTCCTCCAGTGTTCTTTTCTTCTACAGACAAAGAATTAATACATCTTGGGAAGTGGAGCCAGTAGAACCCCAGTACTGCCGCCTCATTGAGGGACTTGGTATGTCTGTGACAGTGCAATTTCTTGCTCACCATCCACCCGACTGAGGCTGCCAACTACATTAATTCCCTGCTACTCCTTAGAGCCTCTTGCCGGGGGTCTCTGCCCCATTTATTGACGTTACCTCATCCCAGGTCTCCAGGGGCCCTCCTGAATGTCAAAATCTGTGGCTTTTCCCCCAGTCTTTTTTTCCTTACTGATGTCTCCCCATCATCTGAAGGACGTCATGTCCCTTACCGAACGCCCCTCCCGGCCCTTCTGTGCCATTTCCCTCCACTGTCTGCCTTCTTCCAGTGCCTATCTTCTTTCCTCTCTTCTTCCTTCTCCTTCACAATGTTCCTGGCTTCAAATATCATTTCCTTCTAAATTTATCTGCAAGTACCAAAAAAAATATGACCTAGCCTTTACCCTGAGGAGCCTCACAGCCTACTCAGACGTCTTAAATAAAATTACTCAAAACTCCATAGCTGCCTCCCTAACGTCTCAAACTGCAGGCCTTCTTTTCCAGACTTAAACCACTTTCCATTTCTGTCCTTTCCTCCCTCATACCCTCACCCACAACCAGCTCTTCTTCTAGACTTCTCCTATGTGTGGCAACCCCATTCTCAAAGGGACTCAGTTCCATATTTAGGAGCCATATGTTTTCCCCTCATCCCTCATTGTTCTCATGAGACGTGTTGGTATCAACCTCTTCTGTGGCCCCGCACAGGGCGGAGCTCACCCCGTTACTATTACTGCCGTATCTGCTTATCTGGACTCCAAGGCCCCCCATTCCCCCCATACTGCTACTAGAAAAGCAGTTCCAGGCAGATTCTGTTCACTGTTCATAGAATGTGCTTTTTCACTTTCTCATGGTTGCTCATGAAATCCCCTGCACTGATTCCTTCCTCTTTGCTTCCTGAAATCGGCTGCAAAGTCCTCTCCTGCCTCTGAACTCCCCAGTGCTCTGAAACTCTGATTCACTTAGGACATCTACCACACACTTTATTTTTTTTTAATTTTTTATTGTTATGTTAATCACCATACATTACATCATTAGTTTTGATGTTGTGTTCCATGTTGTGTTCATTGTTTGTGCATAACACCCAGTGCTCCCACACACTTTATTTTATGGTTAGCAGTGTTCTCTCTCTCTCACTAGCAGATAGGAAACTCCCTAGGGTCAAGGACTGTGACTTATTTATCAGTATGTGTCGGGATGACAGCCTAGTTTATTGTGATATGAGTTTGTATTTTCTTTTTCTTGGTACATATATTTCTTTATATATGATATATTTTGACTATATATACATATATATAGTGAGAGAGAGAGAGCGGGACAGAATAAGTCTTTTTGATTTTGGTTTTCTATCTTTGTTTTTCTCTCTTGATTTCTAAAAAAAGAAAAGAAAGAAAAAAAGAAAGAAGAAAGAAAGAAAGAAAGAAAGAAAGAAAGAAAGAAAGAAAGAAAGAAAAAAGAAAGAAAGAAAGGAAGGAAGGAAGGAAGGAAGGAAGGAAGGAAGGAAGGAAGAAAAAAAAGAAAAAGTAGCCTTGGCCAATATGCTTCCTAGCACATGGAGGAGGTGTGTGCTGCTGGCTAGAAACTGAAGGAACTGGGGACAAGCTGCTTCCTGACTTTTGTTCTCAAAAACCCAAGCTCCTTCAGAAGGTTCTGATGGACAAAGGATAAGAACATGTGGATTTTTTGAATAACAGGGATCCTTTCCCCGCTGCCTAATGGCATTCTGGGGGTGGAGCTGGACCCCTGAAAGAATGGCTGCAAGGTGTCTTCAGGGAGGCTGGATCCTTTGCACTGTGTCACAGCCCAAGCACAGATCATGTGCCCATCCAGGACCTGGAAGTGGCAGAGCTTCGTAAATTAAAGGGAACACACAGGCTTGGCAGTGAGTAATTTGGTGGTGACTAGAATAGAATAAAGGCCAGATGGACTTCCCCAAATATTCTGCTTTTTAAAAACTTGCCACCTACGATATTTGCACAAGCCTGGCAGAAGACCCAGTAATGACTGAGATTGAATTTCCCTTCGGTTTAGTCGAATGTGGGTGCAGGGTCAGATTTAATTTGATTTAAAAAAAAGGGAAATGTAACATTTGCTCGTTTGTTTACTGTTTTGTGGGGTAATATTCAGACTTACTACACATCTCTCTCTCAAAAGATAGGAGCTTGCCAAATAATGTGGTGGGGTAATTAGACTAGATTATTGCTAAAGCCTAGTCTGACTCAAGCAGATTGTAGAATGCAAATAGAGTTGAGAAGCTAAAACTAGGGCTAATGTTGTAAGACAGATCAATGTTCTGATTATCTAAATATTTTGAAAAGAATGGCTGAAATGGTTGAAACTGGCTGAGAGCAAAAGAAAAAACGTTACCTCTTGTGTCTATTGGCATATCTCCATCTTATATTTGGAGAACTAAACAAGTTTGTCAATAGGGTGATATTGATATATCTCTAAAAATTATGCCACTGCCTTCATCTATAAACCCTCTGCTGAGTTCTTTACAAACATTGACATCATCCGCACAACCGACCTGTAAGGTAGGTGCTGCTTGCTATCTGTCCTTGCCGATTAGGAAACTGACACACAGCAGAATGAAGTGACTTGTCTAGTGGCCCAGAACCAGAGGGTGATGGGCCCAGATCATGAGCCAGGGTGATTTTATTCTATGTCTTGTACTCTTTGTCATGTGACCCTGCCTCTCTTACCTACTGACAACACATTTTATTATGGAAGTGTCGGGAAAGTATGATGGCAGCAGAAAACCGAAAATCTGAGAGGCAAAGTGGTGAAATATTAATAAATGGAGCTGACCAAGACAAGGCAGACTGGATATTTAAATAAAAATCACTAGTGAGACCACCCTCACGAGACCCAACTATCTGATGAGTGAAAAGCTTTATGAAGCAGTGGAAAACCAATAACGATTTTAGGCAGGGCTTGGTAGGCAGTTAACAGAGCTGGAGAAGAATTCTGATTTGTGTTTTCTTCAAGATCTAGGCTTTTGTGGTTAATTTTATTGATGGAAAAAACTTTCCTCTTTTTGTTTTCCTTCCCAGTATTCTTTCTGGGAAGCAAAGTTGAAAAGCGAAATAATTCTAAGCTTCAGAAATGATATCTCAAAGATCTTTTTGTATTGAGTTTACCTTTTTCCAAGGCTTTGAGGCTCAAGGATTGTTTTAACCAGGAAGTTAGTCGGCTGCCCTTGGCATCTAATCAAAGCTGCACATGAAATTGGAATAGCTTTACTGGGGTTCCACCCTTGGCAGGATTATCAAGTAAACGGCCATTGTCTTTGGTGTCTTCCTATCTTCCCCTCCATCGCTTTTCCCCTCCAGCAGCTTCCCCTATCTCCCAGATCTGTTTCTACTCCATTGTAGGTCCCATTTATTTTCTTAAGTTGGCTATCAGAATCTTCTTTCCAAGATGTGAAATCGTGATAATATTAATTGATCGTAATGTGTCAGGGTGACACTTTCTCAGGGTGCCTATAGAAAATGATTAAACAGCCAAGGAGACAGAGTTATGCTGTGGAGAGGGTTGACAGGTTAAAAAGCAGTAGATACCTATTCATGAGAAAGATTTTAGACTTACCGGCGGGGTTTTAATGATAGTTGTGCACAGGCTAACAAGTATGTGGGGAGCACTCAGGGGAGGGTGTCCTGGGTGCTCTTACTCCCACAGGTGCCACCGCTGCCGAGATGCACTGTGTTGTCACGCAGGTGCAGCGTAGGTGGGGGACGTGGGGAAAGAGGGGCGGGAATACTGTGCAATCAGCTGGTGACTCATTTTCACATCTGAACGGAAAGTCCTGGCATCCCTGTGCTCTGGATTAAGTCAGTAAATAAAGACAAATACAGCACCGCCAGAACACGCCCACTCCTGTTTTAGCTGAATTAGTGAGGTAGGTTAATGCTGTCGGAGGGTGTGTGAAATGGTATTTGGAAGATTAAAGGTCCAAACTAAAGAGCACACAACTCAGGACATCTTATGCTCAGAAATTAACACTCAAAGACAAGACAGAGTTCAAGAAACTAACACGGTTTATCTTACTTAGTCGGTCAACCAGCTTTATTGAGAGCTCTTATAGTGAAAAGGCAGGTATTACGTTGGGTGCAAAGCTGGTGTACTGAATGAAAACTGGTCCCTGTTCCCAGGAGGCTTACTGTCTGGAAGAAATCAACAAGTCAGCAGAAGGTTGCAGCCCAGGTGTGAAGGAAGTATCATGGCGGCGGTAGTCACAGGTGACCATATTAGTACAAAAAATGGGTGCTAGAACTAAGGGGAACTGGGAGAGGCTGCAAAGGCTGAGGAGGTGGCCCCCAAGCTCTTCTCTAGAGCCCGTGATACTCAGGCAAGGGGAGGTGAAGGTGGTGTGGGAGAGATGTGGGTTGTTAAGAAGAGGGAGCCCCGTGTGCTCAGGCAGGCAGGTGAACGAGGCTGACACATTTCAGCAACTACCAAGGGAGGAGCTGCAGCACAGCTGGCCTAGAGGGTGGAGAGTGGGGGCCAACAAACCAAGACTGGAGCCAACGTGGAGAATTTGGAATCCAGACCAAGAAGCTTAAGATTTCTATTACCGACTCTCGTTTTTAAGCAGGGGAGTGACAAGATCGACTCTGCAATTTATAATGATGACTGTCAGCAGGTGCAGACAGTGGTAGCAGAAGAGCAGAAGTGACCCGTTAGGAAGCTACTGTGCAAATCCAGGGGGGGCAGTTTTAGAGCTCCAATGAGAGTGATCCGTTGGATTTTGGGAGTAAGGAAAAAGAAAGCATCAAAGGTCACTCCAGGTGCTTCAAGGATGGGTCCTTGGGGGATGGAAGTGTCATCCACTGAAATCAAAATATAAGAAATGGAGCAGATTCACGGGGGAAATGTCCAGATCAGTTTGGGACGTGTTAAATATGAAAAATGAAATGGCCAGGTAGGAATGCCCAATGTACAGGTGAATACAAAGTCCTGGAAATTGGCAGAACGATTCGGGCTTGATTTAGAGATTGGAGAGTCAACGGCACATGGGTGGAACCTGCAGCCAGGGGACTAGCGTAGATTGCACATGTAGAAAGGATGCTTGCCATGAGAAACAGCCGAAGGCACTTAGGGCCTGGAGCATATTCATGTCCAGAACAGAACTGGGCAGGAAGATAGGGCAAAAGGAAACCAAAAAGTGGTGTTCAAGAGAGAAAAAGTGAGAGAAAATAAAAAGTTTGTTCAAAAATTAACCAACTTGTATTCAGTGTGATTTTTTTAATTGCTTTATTCAATTTGCTGGGTTCTCCCCATGTCTGTTTTACTCCAGGTGGAAATAGCATTTCCAGAAAGAATAGTCTTTCAAGCCATTTAGATACCATAGATACCATAGATACCAAATCTTGATTAACTGGAATGTTTAGAAAATGGAACTCTCTAATTAATTTAATTTTCAGGTTACTAGTTGGGGATCAGTTTCAGTAAGTGAATATTTAATTAAATCTTCCTCTGTTCTCTAATTTTCAGTGCCCATTGCTCATTATTGTGTTGATTCAAATTTGCATTTTATTTGGCTTTGTCCCACTTTTCTTTCTCCCCTCCCCCTCTTTGCTCAGTTGCCTTTTGACCCACTAGCCACACGTTACCCCACGCCACCGTCTCCTCACATGGGCTAGTCACCATAGCTGTGTCACAAACCACCTTAAAACCGAGTGACTGACTTAAATGACAATTACTTTGCTCATGAATTTGCAATTTTAACAGGGCTCAGTGGACACAGCTCATCCCCGTTCCATTTGCATCAGCTAGGGTGACTCAAAGGTTGAGAAGTGAAGTGGCCTGTGACTCCTCCAGTGTCTTCTCTACTTTCTGTAGTCTCTGTATAGTCTCTCCTCTGTAGCTTCAAAGTACCCAGACTTCCTACATTTAAGACACCTTACCTCCTGATGCAAGGATATGAACATCACATTTTAAGGAGGGCATGTGGCTATGATCCATGTTGGTTCTACCATATTTGTAAAATACAGTTCGCCACACTTGTTAGCCACTGCCTTTACCCTCAGTCCTGCCTGCTTGGGACCACGTCCTCTGTGGGTCTCTCTATTAGGAGCCATGTGCGGCCCTATTCATCCTGTTCGTGGTCATAACTACTTCTCATATGCCTCTTTCCATAGCAAACTGCTCAGGACCAGCTCTTAATGAGAAAGAGAGCTGACTAAATTGTTCAAATTTGTCTGTATTTGGTAGTCTTTCCTAAGACCTATTGATTTTATAATGGATAACAATTACCCAATAATTTCCCAATATGATCAGATAATGATATATTTTTAGGCCCCAACAAGTTGGAAGAGAGAAATGTTTGGCTGAGAGGCCTTTAAGACACCCTCACAATGAAGACTTTCCAAATGTCATCAGTCCATCTGCACATCAGTCTTCAATGGGGAATAAAGCTGAATCTCTCAGGGCACATACCCTACAAGTTGTTATTTAAAGAATAAATCTAGGCTATGACTTTATTTTATAGTTATTTGCTTTTTTCTTCTGAAAATTGAGTTCTAAAGAAAGACTATAGTATTTAGGGAAACAGACCCCAGTTTTACTGGAGAGTAGAATGCCTATGGGATCCCTGGAAGTTAATGTAGTTTCCCAAGTAACTAGTTGAAAAAGTTAATGTAGTTTCCAAAAGAAGTCTAAAGTTTCATCTGTGAGATTTACTTTTTAAGCCTTCCTTCATGCATCTTTCTGATCCTTCACTTCTTTTGCAGAAAATGGCTCTGAAGATATTGATATACTTCCTAGTGGGCTGGCTTTTATCTCCAGCGTGAGTATTTTCCACACCCCTCAGACGCTCATGTCAATAGCCGAATAAATAGTACATTAATGTTGCCGACTAGAGCTGCCAGATGGACCCCGACACACTCATCCCAACTGTGATTAAAGCAGTCAACTAAAAAAGCCAAAACAGGGATTCCAGAGGGCTAATTGGGTTGCCACAGGAATGCCCAGGTTTGCTTGGCCCCATGTGGGCAGCTTCCTATGGGCAGTTACAAATTCAGTAGGGTCTCAATAAATGTCTATTGATTCCCACTGGATTCCTAGATGAGTCTCCAGGTTTGTCCTGCTACTGCCCATCCCCATCACTGCCCTAGTTTGCCGGAACTCAGTTTCTGGTCGTCATGTTCTCACTAACTGATATTCTTCTCTCTATGCCTGCCTGTGTTTGAGGCTCGGGAAATGTCTGTGAACCATATGTTGACCATGTTAGGCAATCCAAAAGCCTGAGCATTTTCCATCTTGGGTTCCCTGCCATTCCTTCCAACTCTTTCAAAGACAAGTAGAGAAGGGCCCGCATTTTATTTCCAATACCACCTTCACAGGTTTGGGATGATCAGGAAGTTATGTGAAGGACTGACAAATAAATATAAATAAATTAAATACAATAAATTGAAATATATATGGTGTAAAGATACTGAAAATTGCCATGTATTTATTGAACAGTTGCAATTTGGAATGCGACCTAAGATTCTGAACAAGCAAATTGACTCCATTTTCAATGTGAATTCTGATTGCTGGGACGGCATGTCCTAAATATTCTATTTTGACCAACAGAATACTACCAAATAACATGAATTTTAAAATCTATATCTTTTTGGCTAAAAGGGGACACATATAATAACACTTAAAGGCCTGAATTTCTAAATTCTTAAGTATGCACAGTATAGTAGGCTTTCGTTCGGATTTAAATTGCTGTTGGTAGTGATATGTGTTGGGGTGGGGGGGGGGAGGGATTTTATTCCCTTAGTTTTCCTCCAAAACCAAAACTAAAACAAAACTGTCTAGAAAAGCTTTTCCTCTGTTGTCTTAAATTTTCTATTTTCAATCTAGATGTTCAATGTTATGCCAAATAGACTTTTAAAAATGATTATTCTGTAACTGGGAGATTTCTCTGCTTTTAGGAGATAATATCTATAGTTCCAGCAGTAGCTTCTTTTCGATTTTCACTGGAACTAAAAGTACTGAACTATTGCTGTATAGAAACTAGAGGTTTTCAGCAGAGAAATGTTAACAGGGGGCTTTAAGTAATAGAGTTCTTCTTTGTAAACTAATGACTCCTAGGCTAAGGATGATGGTTTTTTTTGTTTTTGTTTTTTGGTTTTTTTGCTTATTTTCAATCTCTTTGCACTGCAGTAAATTCAAGTCCTTGTTCTTGGTTTTTCTTATCTCCCTTTCTTGCCATCACAGAGCATGTTTGAAAGCTGCTGACGTAGGTGAGAAATTCTGCGTGATATTTGTAGTCAGTCTATAGACAGGTGCCAAGCAGGTTATTTGCTTCTTTACCTTGGGACTTGGCATGCCTCTCCTTGCCTGCCTTCTTCACACATTATGGAGCCAGCTCCTCATTCTCTGTCAGCCTTTCTGTGATCACACTTTAATTCCACAGGAAAGTCTTCCCCAATGCTCTTTCTGGGCAACGTGTCTCTTCTATGGCCCCTCACATTCTCTGTACCTAGGCTCTTCCTTACCACATCATAACAGACGTGCTTGCTTGGTGCCACCTCCCCAGATTTCAAGCTCCTTGCAGCCAGAGCTTTGTGGAGCGTCCATTGCTATGCTGAGCACCTAATGTGCTACCTGACACGTACAGGGTGCTTGAAATATTTACTGAATGCGTGTGCTGGTGAATGAGGGCAGTAGAGAAGTTCAGTGCCTACTCACACTCACAGGTAGCCTATTGGGGAAAATAAAATGCTGCCCCTCCAGGGGATTTTCACCATTTTCAGTGACGAATGATATCCAAAGAATTGCTTGCACTGACTTGCTACAAATTCCTACCCAACTGCCTTCAACAGAAAACCGGGTGCATATGAAGCCACTTATTGGAAGTGTTTCATTCATCATGACACTTATTGTAGGTCAGGTTTGTTTGCAATGTCCTACCCTTATTTACCTATTAAATCATTTCAATTTCAAGAACATCCAGTCTTTGAACTAGGTGGCCGTGCCTTTGTGTGCACCCAGGCTACCAAGATACTTACTAAGGTGGTCTTCCTCGAGCTGTCTTCCTGAGTAGCGGTCTCCACTGTCAAACCTTTCTTTATGGTGTGGCAGAAAGAGTGTACAATTAAAGATGTGAGTGACCTAGGCAATTCACTTCTCTGGGCTTCATTTTCCTCAGGTGAAACGGAAGAATTAGATGTCTCTGACATTTTTTGTCCATTATTACCATGACCTAAGCTGCTGGGCTTGGTGACAGCCTGACTCTGAGGAAAGGGTAGACTCGAAGACTGAATTTCATGGCCTGATATTGGGGAGAACAGTGATGCCCTTAACTGTGAATAATAGATACAAATGAGAGTAAGGATTCGGGGAGAGAATGTTGATTTTGGTTCGGACAATTTGATTTTGAACTGCTGTTAGAAAGAAGTTGGGAATGCTTACAAGCTAGAGCTCCACAGAGAGGTTCCACGTAAATGGGTAGACCTGAAAATAATTGGTATAGAGAAATATCTGAAACCTTATGAATAAGGTCTGCAAGGAAAGAGTATAGAGCAAGAAGAAAGGAGGGGTGGTTGAGGATAGGAGGAGGAAGGGGCAGACTTCCATCTGGAAAGTCTACTTTTGACTTTTTTTTTTGACAAGAAATAAAGGGGTACCTCAGAGTGTCAGATGCCATAGAGATACAGATAAGGAAGGGGACAGGGATTATCAAGTGAGATATTTTGGAGAGCACTGATATGACCTCGGTAGAGGCGCTTCTCCAAAACGTGAGAGTTGGCGCCGTTCAAGGCAGGTGACAAGACCAAGTGAGGTTTCTAAGAGAGCTGACAGTGAGGGGAAGGCAAGATAAACGTGTGTTTGAAGGAGTAGTTAAATTAGGAGAAGATTTGTCTCAAGGAAGGAGAAATGAGCAATTTTTCAGGCAAATGAAGGGGGCACTGGTGAGAAATGAGGGGTAAAGCAAGAGAGAGACTGTAAGTTCTAAAGACAGGTCCCCGAGAACAGGCAACCAAATAAACAGGTGGGGGAAGTAATTAACTTAAGAACAGAATAGCGACACTCTTTCCCTAAGAAAAGAGGGAGAAAGGAAGAAAATTGATAAAATTGAAGAATTACCAAGACAGAAAGGAGGGAATCAGAGGAAATTCATGTTGAGTGGCATGAGTTTTTTTGTTTGCTTGTTTGTTTGTTTTTTTCAGAGAAATAGGAGGTAAAGTCATCCATTGAGAATAAAGAGGAGGAAGGTATGTGCTCTGGAAGATAATAAAATAAGTTGAGAATGGATACTTGGGGAAATGCAATAGATTACCTATTAGAATGAACAAAGAGATTGATAAACAGTGTTGAAGGTCTGATTGAAGTTGGGATGATAACTTTGCTGTAGGAAGTTTTTGAGCTGATTTCAGACTGGCCCTATATAAAAGCTAGTCCAGGGCAAGGGGAGTTGGCAGGAATTTGATAAGGAAGCAGGAAGCAAAGTGTGTGGCTTCCTTAGAAGACTGACTGTTGATTGATGATGACAGGTTCAAGGTCTGGAAGGAGAAGTCTGTGGCCAGGGGCATGGGGATCTCTCCTCCAGGTGAGGTGACCTAAGAAAAATGAAGCCGGAATTATACCTCCTCGGATGGGCTTCTGCAATGTCATTGTTGTCTGGGGAAAAGCCGGGTTTCTGGTAAGATTTAGGCATAGAAGAACTGTTCTTTAAAAAGCTCGAAGATGTATGTGGGGTTGTTTGCAACTGAGGATTGACTCCCCCAGGGGTGGGGTGAAGGGCAGTGGAAGGGCCAAGAATAGTATTATTGTAAGTAAGTGTGTGGAGGTGTGTATGCGTGATTATAAGAAAGGGAGGGGACAAGAAGACAGAAGATAGAGGGAGATCATTTAAATTGACGATAAATGGAAATGAGGGTACAAGAAAAGATATAAAATTGTTGATGTTAATATATATCAGAGTGATGGGGGAGGATGCCAGGGAGGAAGTGGGCTGAGTTTTGCCATTGGTGTAGCACAAACCAACTCCAAGTTTGACACAGTGACCTGGGATGCAGCAAAGGCCCATTGCCTATTATTGGTTGATAGACACTCGTCATTGGTCCTTCCAGGAGAAAGAGCCACTGTCCAGGTTACTGACATAAACTTTTTGCAGTATTCGAAGAAAAGGATTCATGTCCAAATTTTCAGACCTAACTATAGGAACAACATAGGTCAGAAATAGTCAACTTTGCGTGACTGGTTCCCCTATGTGAATTCTTGGCTACTTCGAATATTTGTCACTATGTAATATGATGGAGGTAGGGATGGGAGCAATATAAGGAAAGCATATACCCCTTCTCTCTGCTTTAAGGGAGGTTAGTTGCTGACTATCAGGACTGGAAAGGACAGACTCTCAGGACTTAGCAATCCTACACTTTAACTTTCTCCTTTTATAAAAGAGGAACTAGAGGCATAGGCAGGCCAAGGGACTCACACAAAGGAACCCAGCCTAGTGTCTTGCATTACACTTTTTGGCTTCACCCTTTCTCTCTCTATTAGGAATTGAATGTGGGTTCTTCCCACATTCCCATTCCCATTCCCAATGACCCAATAATCCCTCAGGTCAGATAATGGCACCAGCTGACAGAGCAAAAAAATCCCAGAAATCTAAGAGAAATGCAGGTCTTTGAATATTTTTGTTAGGCTTTGAGATTTTCGCTTCCATATGAAAATATTGTGAAGCGTATACATGCATTTACTTATTTTATATTTTTTGCAGGGATTGAAATATCCAGGCATGCCAAACTTTGCACCAGATGAGCCAGGACAGATTTTCTTGATAGATCTGAATGAGCAGAACCCAAGGGTCCAGGCACTAAACATCAGTGATGGTTTTGACAAAGCATCGTTTAATCCACATGGAATCAGTACTTTCACTGATGAAGGTAAAGCCCGAATGCTTTAAAATAAGGGGTAAATGAGGGAAATACAAGCCACTCAACCTCCACAACTCAATGTGTATGTGAAAGGAGGGAAAGTTTTATTTTACCGGAAAGATGTATATTTGTAAGATAATAAATGTGTACCAAACATTTGTAAACACCACATTAAAGAAGGGAGACGACAAGGTGGTCATTCCTTCTCCTGCTTATCTCCTTCTCTTTCCATTTGACCTTCAAAACCAGTTTGGAGATTGTTCTCAGAAATCTAACATAGAAACTCAAAGGCCTTTGAAAATAATTTGTGTGACATTAGAAAACATAACATGAAAGAAAACAGATAAACTAGATAAACTAGACTTCATCAAAATTAAAAACTTTCTGGTTCAAAAGACACCTTGAAGAAAGTGAAGAAATAGCCCAAAGAATGAAAGAAAATATTTGCAAATCATATATCTGATAAGAGGCTTATATTAAGAATATATAAATCATTCTTACAACTCAACAACAAAAAGACAACCCAATTAAAAAATGGACAAAGGATCTTAGTAGACATCTCCAAACAGATATGCAAATGGCCAATAAACACATGAAAAAATATTTAATATCCTTAGTCATTAGGGAAATGCAAATCAAAACCATAATGAGAAAGCACTCCATTCCCACTGGGATGGTTATAATAATAATAATGAAAAAGCAGACAATGACAAATCTTGGCAAGGATGCGGAGAAATTGGAACCCTCACACTTTGTTGGTGCAGCCATTTTTTTTTAAGAGTTTATTTATTTATTTGAGAGAGAGAGACAGAGAGAGAGAGAGAGTAAGCAAGAGAGAGAGCACAAACGGGGGGGGGGCGGCAGTGGAGGGGCAGAGGGAGAAGCAGAGTCCCTGCTGAGCAAGGAGCCCGATGTGGGGCTCGATTCCAGGACCCTGGGATCGTGACCTGAGCCGAAGGCAGACACCCAACCTACTGAGCCACCCAGGTGCCTCAGTGTGGCCATTTTTGAAAGCAGTTTAGCAGTTCTTCAAAATGAACACAGAGTTACCATATGATCCCCAAACTCCACCCCTTGGTATGTCCCCAAGAGAATTGAAAACGTAGGTCCCCACAAAAACTTATACACAACTGTTCATGGCAGCATTATTCCTAATACCCAAAAAGTGAAAGTAACCCAAGTTCTCACCAAGTGATGAATGTATATACAATGGGATATTATTTGGCAATAAAAAGGAATAAAGTTCTGACACATGTTACAACATGGATAAATTTCGCAAACATTATCCTAAGTGAAAGAATTCAATCACTAAAGGCCACATAGTGTATGATTGCATTTATATCAACTGTGCAGAATTGGCAAATTCATAGAGACAAGAAGTAGCTTAGTGGTTGGCAGAGGCTGGGAGAAATGGGGAATGACAGCTAATGGGTTTGGGCTCTCTTTTTGGGCTGATGAAAAAGGTCTGGAGCTAGAGAGTGGCTATGGTTGCACAACTCTGTGAATATACTAAACACCACTAAATTGTACAGTTTAAAATCTTGAGTTTAACAACAATGCATTATATCACACAAAAGCTGTTGCAAAAAGATCTAAGTTATTAGTACATTGTATATACTTTAAAACAAGTTTCTGATGTTATTTCGTACTTGTTCATTGTCCATAATTCCCAACTAATTTAATTTTTAGATATTTGTGGGTCCATAGGGCATGTGGAAAATAAAAACAGTGAGACCTCATTAATAGTAACTATGTGAAGGAAAGGCTAAATGGAAGTGTTGCAATTTGGAATTTTTAAAGAAATTGTGTGTTAATTCTTTCAAATACATACTGGAGTTACAGTGTATTGTTAAGAATACATTTGTTGGAGTGATTTTATTGAATAAAAAAAGAATGATTAATAATTATTAATTCACTCATCCAACAGATCTTTGTTTAATTCCTTTGGTCTGCACGAATAGACTTGTTCATTTTTAAATAAGTGGGTTCCTTTTAAAATTTTCGTATATAATTTATTCCTCAAAATAAAACACTGGGCCCAGCCTTGGTACTTCTCCCCTTCCTGCCCCATTCAGTCACCTAGTTCCAACGTTCTGTCCAATTTACCCTTCAAATATCTCTCCAAGCTGTCCACCTCTCCCCATCCTTGATGTCACTGTCCCATCCCAAGCACCCAACATGTCTTCCCTGGATTCTGTAATGGGCCCCCTGACTATACCTTCTCTCTTATACCACCTCCATCCATTTTCATAAGAAAGAGTTATTTTTTATGCAAATCTGATCATGTCCCTCCCTTCTTAAAATTCTCCATATTGTTTCCATTACTCTGGAGAAAAGTCTCAATTCTCCAGAATGGCCTGGGCTCTGAGGCGCTACCCATGTGTATTCTGGCATGTGTGTGTTTTCTCCAGCCTCACCAGATACCACCTTCCCCTTGACTCCCTGGACCAGCCATACTGGATTTCCTTTAGACCTATAAAGTGCTCCATGCCTCAGGGCCTTTGCATTTGCAGTTCCCTCTGAGTGGAATGTCTTTCCACCACTTCTGATTTACTCTTCCTCATCATTCAAGCCTCAGTTTAAATGTCACTTTCTCAGGGAGGCTTTCCACCGTCTTGTTTCCGGGTGTGAATCTTATTATATTTCTTCTCAGTATAGTCCTTCTTTTAGCACTCATCAAAATGGCAATTAAAGTTTTTTATTAATGTTAAATGTTACCAACCTTCTTTCCCTCTCCCACTATTGCCCTATAGTGAGCTCCTTCACATCTTTAGATCCAAGCTTGTCACTCTTTAAGTGGGTGCCACTCTATGAAGAAGGCATCTCCCCTCTCCAGTATTCTTGTATTTACTAATTATTTCCTCCCTGTTTTCTTCTTTAGAATACAGTCACCATAAAATCATGTGTGACTTGTTTATTGCTGGATTCCCATAGTCTAGAACAATGTCTGTTGCATAGTAGGTGCTCTATGAACATGTGTTAAATGAATAAATGAGTGAGCCCCATGAGACAGGGCAGATATTAATACTCAGTTTTATAGATGAAGAAATGGAGTTTGAAGAAATGCAGTGACATGTGACTTCACATCTGTCATTAATAAATGGCAGTTCCAGAAGTAGAACCCAGGTGGTCTTCTTCCTAATCCTATATCCTTTATTTGGGTGAAATTAGGGCTCCAAGCTCTGATTAAATTATTTGAGTCACTGTTTTCTGGCCTGACCCCCCTCTGGACACCTTCATTGGAGAAAGTATAATGAGTGACCAGATTAACCTGGAGCTGCTTTATTGCATGGGATAGTGTTAGAGGTGGATTTTTTTTTTTTTTTTTTTTGAAGCATGGGGAGTAGAGGTTCGTTTTTTTATTTTGTTTTGTTTTTGTTTTTTAAGATGGAACCAGTTTACAGATTAACCCTCAAGCATTTAATCAGACTTTCAGAAGCTGAATATATTATGATTGCAATCTTATTTTACTTATTAGTTACTTCCTTTAATTATGCCTTTAATAAAGGCAAAACACACATAAATTGGAATGGAATGAAAAGACAAAAACCAAAAATATTCCTACCGACCATCTCTTATATGGAAGGAGGGGTCCAGTAGAAGCCTAAAGAAGGGGTAAAACCAGGGCAGCACATATAATGTTCATGCTGTGTCTGGCTGAAGGGCCACATGGGGGCTGAAATCCAACTCAGGCTTTGCTTGCCAAACCTCAGGCCCTGGAACAGAGCTGGGTTGGACTAAAAGAAAAATTCACCTGTGAAGAAGCACCTTTCCTTAATTAGGGCTAAAGTACCTGTGTGTTTCAGAGGCCCTGAGTATAACCCCTGCATCTCAGGGCTGGCACTTGCTCTATTGCATGATTGGGAACCCATCAAGAAAGGAATAGGGGACATGAATACAGATCAGGCCCTGCAGTGGGAGGATGGGGCCAGGCTCTTTCAAATTCTGGAGCTCGTCTGACCTAGAGCTTCTGTCAAGTCAGAAAACAGTATTTTGAGAAAACAGATTACTGCCCTCCATCCTGTCCCTGGCCGTTCACATTTCAATATGAAAACAGACAGGTGAACATTCTTGAGGTTGGCAGTACCCAGAACTGATTAGTCTTCTTTCTCTTGCATTCGTATTTACTTCCGTGTCTGTTGGGCTCATTAAATATTGTGGTTGCAACGTAAGGTAGTTGACTTGTGTCAGAACTTTATTCTCTAGTGGGACATGCCCTTATATTAAGGTATTTACATAGCCATGACATTTCTTGAGCGTGTGTTGCAGTGTAAGCTTTTCTCACAGAAGGAATTCTCAGCACCCTCTTGCTTGCTTGCAACCACTTCTTTTGTTGAAGGGCCACCTTGGGAAACCACATCCGTCTATGTGCCATTGTAGTTTTATATCTTCCTGTTGGAGAGGGTATGTAGTGAGGCTCAGGAGACCATTGAGAAACGTCTGGGCTTGGCTCTGCCACTTGGTGGTGGTGAAATTGCTGATGAGTTATTCACCTTCTGAGCCTCAATTTTTTTAGTAAAATGGGGATTCTGGCATTTGACCTAGAAGGTATGCTGCGGGAATCAAATGCAAGGTGTATAAGAAAAGTGCTTGAACATGACCAAGTTGTACACCAAGTCTAGTAATATAATAATAGTTGCAATAGAAGTAAACTTCTTGGAAATTATGCCTTTTTTTCCACCTTAGACCATACTGTGTATCTTTATGTTGTGAATCATCCCCACATGAGGTCCACGGTGGAGAAATTTAAATTTGAGGAAAAACAACGTTCTCTTGTACACCTGAAAACTATAAAACATGAACTTCTCAAAAGGTATGGAATTAAAGTATTTTGTACTATTTATTTTGCACCTCTGCTGTGTGCTTTGTTTTCTTTGGTTCAGCAGGCTTAAACTTTTGTTTTGTAGCATTTTTTTTCCTAAAGCTTTCAAGAGGTTCCCATGGTGACACTGCCCAGCACCTCACTAGAAATTACTGTATTCAGTATTGAATATCTTTATATTCTCCAAATTTCTGAAAGCATTTTAATCCTATAAAGGTGCTCAATTAGATTCCCAGCTCTAATTCCATCCTCCATACCGCAACAATGCAATACCCACTATTGGGCTCTCTTCAAACACCTACATCTGTTTCTAGTTGTCCCAGTAGGTTGTGTTCTGAGAGCCTACTGACTGGGTGTTATAACCAGCCTCCAGATGGGCCATTCCTTTGTTTGATAAAAGCTTTAGAGCAGGATTTGAAAAAAGGCTGTAGGCACATATAAAAATTCACATTTACTAAGTGCTATGTGCCAGGCCCTGTGTCAAAATACTTCATTTAATTCTCCCAACAGCCTTTAGTAATAGGCATGAGTAAACTGGGACCTAAGAAGTTTCGGGTTAAGTAACTTGTCCAAATTACATACTTTGTAAGTGGCAGAACCAGGGTGTTAGCCTAGATCGGTTTGAATTCAAAGAATAGGAAAAGAAAAGGAAGGTCACCTTTTCTCCTTTGCTCTCTTTCTCAAAACCATGTATGGATTTCTCCTCATAGAATTTGGGGGTGACAAAAGCAGAGGGCAGGAGAAGTTGGGGGGGGTCACTGAACTCTTCCCATGATGCATCGCACTGGGTTCACCGTCACCGCCACAGGGTGTCTGAGAAACTGAACGAATCTCTCAACCTATGCTTCAGTGTCCTCAGTGAAATGGGGGTTCTCTCACTGGCCTGACTTACCTAACCGGCGATTGTGACATATGACCTCACTGAACGAGTTTTTTTCCATGAAAGCACAGCATGAGGGAATACTCAATAGGCAACTACTTTTTTGGAGAGTTACCATCCCAGGACCCAGAAGTGAAGGATCAGCCTGAGGCAGGGAGAGGGGGTATTATGGGTTGAATTGTGTCCTCTCAAAAAGATATGTTGAAATTTTAACCAGCCATCCCCCCTTGCAACATTTCAGAACATAACCTTATTTAGAAATTGGATTACTGCAGATATGCTTAGTTAAGATGAAGTTATGTTAAAAGTGGGGGTGGATCCTTAATCCAATATGACTTGCGTCCTAATAAGAAGACAAACAGGGAGAATGCATGTGGGAATGGAGAGTGAGATTGGAGTGAAGCATCCACAAGCCAAGGAATGTCTGGAACGACTAGCAACTAGTTGCCTCAGAAGGAGCATGGCTCTGTCAGCACCTTGATTTCAGATGTCTCGCCTCCTGTGAGACAGTAAATTTCTATTGTCTTACACTCCCCGGGTTGTGTCACTCTGTCACGGCAATACTAGGAAGTTCACACAGGGGGAGGCTATCGTGAGTGGTTATTAAGCCAGCCACTGTTAAGTGCAACTGCTTGAAATCATGGGATTGTCCTCCTGTAAGCAACATGAGCCTCGTTTTAGGACAACCTGGCCATAAGAAGAAAGCGAGAAGAGTTTATTCACCAGTCCCTTCTCCTATGAGTCAAGGTTTGCCCCAAAGGGTGTTAACTCTTGCGCATTCCTGGTTGTGCATGTGCAAGTCAAGTCTGGTGATATCCTGTGCTTTGGCATCAACACAGAAGCCTGGAAGCAGGAGCCTGAGGCCTGTAACGGAAATGAGGTAAGGCTGTATAAGGCTACGCTATGGAAGGTCTGTCAGAACCAGGCAGAACTGGTTGAAGAAGTGCCATCTGGAACAGGGCAGGTGAAGCTCTGAGGACTTAAAGAGGATTTTTGAGAGGTGCCCTAATACTCAACCTTAACCAAGCATTTCAAGGGGTTAGAACAAGGTGCTATGGGATCGACTATGGTGTCTGCCAATACTTTTTAGAAGAAGGAATGCTTAAGCTGAGCCCAAAAGATGAGTGGCCTAATGACCTTGGGAAAGTCATTATAAATCAAAACCTCAAAGTATTTCCTGATTCATCCAAATTTTTTTATAAATTCAATCGAAAAGTGTTTAATTTTTTTTACCTTTTTTTCAAGTCGCCATCTTTTTTTCTTTTCCAAAATGTAAATGACTTTATTGCTCTTTACTCTTATAAAAGTATGACTTGTTTCATTTAAAAATTTTAATAATACTGAAGAATATGAGCAAGAATGAAGAGCGCTCACAATTCTGATATAAAGATCAAGATGGACTGGGTTATTTGTAAGTGGCAGAACCAGGGTGTTAGCCTAGATCGGTCTGAATTCAAAGCCGGACTCTCAGTCACCGTGATGAACATCCTTCTTACTGTGTTGAGAAAAATAGTTTAGTTTTTTAGTGGATAGTTTGCCTGCTCCAAGGCTGTAACAAACAAAGAAGAATTTGTCTTTTTTATGAAATGGACTCAGTGCTGAAAGACAGTGGAGGTTAATCTTTTCTGCGATAGAAGAAGAGGAAAAAAATTTTGTTACAATAACAGAAAAGAAAAACTGTAATATTTTTAGTGGCTCAAAACCACAAATTTTGTTTTGTTTTCTTACTCAGGCTACATGTCCCAGGTAAGTGATTCAAGGACTCAATTTTATATTGTCCTCACGTAGGGCCCTAAGAGGCCACACTTTCAGTTATCAGAAAAGTTGCTGGTTACTGTCAAAAAGTAAGGGAAGCATGGTGGGTCACATACTGGCTTGTCTTCCATCCAGAAGCCACACACCACATCACTTCATCTCACTGGCTAAAAGCAAGTCACATGGCTGGGCCAAACATCCAGGGCATGGAGAAGCCTCATTCTAGAAGAAAGAGAACCAGAACTATTGGTGACCACCGATAATAACCATTATTGCACTATGACCACCACACATAACCATTATTGACATTTACAAGTCAACAATTTGGAATTGAGGTTTGTTTGTATATTTATGTGTTTTTGTTGACTTCTGTGGAAGGGAAGATTGAGAAAATAATAAATGGCTAAAAGAAAACCCGTCAGGTGCAATGAAAAATCATGTCCTTTGGGTGGAATTCATACTGCTTCATGTATACTTTTTCAAACTGATGAACATAAGGGTCTTTGAAATTCAGGGTTTTTGACAACAATCTAGATATTTAAATACTCCATGGGTTTTGTTCTTTCTCTCTTTCTTTTTTTCACTTTAGCCTGAATGACATTGTGGTTCTTGGACCAGAACAGTTTTATGCCACAAGAGACCACTACTTTACCAACTTCTTCTTGGTACTATTAGAGATTATCATGGATCTTCGTTGGACTTATGTTGTTTTCTACAGTCCAGGAGAGGTCAAAGTGGTAGCTAAAGGATTTAGTTCTGCCAATGGGATCACAGTCTCACTAGACAAAAAGTAAGCTTTTTATAATTTTCCAATACTTTGCTCTTGACATTTTAGTGGATTCCTTCCTTTAAGAGGTGTTTACTTCCTTAGGCTTAAGTAGTCACTATATAAGTGGACGGACCAGGTGTGGCCAGGATTCACACTCTATGGGTGATCATAAGCACACCATTTGCCCTCTTACATGTCAGGCTCCCCCCAATGAAATGAAGGATGTGGACTCAAGGTTGTGAGGTCCTTGTTTCAATTTATTATGTGACTCTAGAAACACAGTTACCCAACACACTGAAAAGGACAATAAATGCACAATATCTCTGCCCTTTATGAGGCTGAAAGGTGTTTAACCACTTACACTAAGTTGAGTTACCCAAAAGTTCTTTTTAGAGAAGGAGACCTGACTTAGACTGGGCATTGTGATTGTATGAATTTCAGATATACTGATATACTACAGCAGACTTTTCTATAAGAAAATCCTATTTTATGCGGCATGAAATTCTATGAGAAACTCTTTTAAAGTGTTTTAAAATGGAAGTTTTTTTAAAAAAGAAACATACCCATGAATATTAATGATTGCATTTGAGATAATAGAGATGATCCCTATAGAAAACAATTCTAGGGGCACCTGGGTGGCTCAGTCGTTAAGCGTTAAGCATCTGCCTTCGGCTCAGATCGTGATCCCAGGGTCCTGGGATCGAGCCCCGCATCGGGCTCCCTGCTCCACAGGAAGCCTGCTTCTCCCTCTCCCACTCCCCCTGCTTGTGTTTCTGCTCTCGCTATCTCTCTCTGTCAAATAAATAAATAAAATCTTAAAAAAAAAGAAAGAAAACAACTCTGTGTTCTTCCTCTTTTTAAAAATGATTGTGATTGAGCCTCATGGTTATCTGATACTTCTTTGTAAGCACTCGTTTTTTTGTGGAAGTATAGACTCTTTTGACCTTATAATAAAGAGATCTGCTTACCTCCACCCAATTTAAGGAATAAATTGTGACTCCTAAGTCATGAGACTGAGCTTATATGTCACCTAGAAACATCAAGGTCATTACTTTATAGTCACATCTCATATTTAAAACTTACTTAAAACTCTTGAAGAATACTAAAAGTAAGACTCTGTTATCTTCTTGTCCTGTGGTTTAGAAAGACATTGCAGTGGCACTTGGAACTCGTGTGAATTGTTAGACTTCTCCAAAGTAAAAGTTAATGTCATCTCTCAATATTACTTGCTTACATGTAAATGCTATTTACTTCAAAGGTATATCTATGCAGCTGATGTAACTGCTCAGAACATTCACGTACTGAAAAAACACGAGAACTGGGATTTAACTCAAGTGAAGGTAAAAGTCCCCTGGCTTGCCCACCCAACATGGCCTCTTAGATCGGCTCCCATGCCTGACCTAGGAATGTGCTCTTTGAATGCAGGAAACATGACTATTTTAGAAGAATATTGGTGAGATTGTGCTTACACTTCTAAAATTCAGTAGTAAGGCCCTTAAGAAGACCCATTTCAGGAGCCAGAAGGAGCTGGTGGGAGGGAGGAGTGGTAGAGAAGAAAGTTGAAACAATGTCTTTATATTTCCTCTTTGTTGGAAGGTAATACATCTGGGCACCTTAGTGGATAACTTAACTGTGGATCCCGACACGGGAGATATTTGGGCAGGATGCCATCCTAATGGCATGAAGCTGCTGCTCTATAACCCTGAGGATCCTCCAGGGTCTGAAGTAAGTTCCTATACTTCTCTGAGCTCACAGGCAAAGCTGCAAGAACAATTTGTTGAGGTAACTTGGGAGAATTTAGTGGGTCACATGCGATATTCCAGAACTGAACAAGTTCTGCATATAGAAAAAGCAGAGATTTTGGCAGGATGGGGAGATACAGCCCATTAACCTTTTCAGGTCTTCTGGTGACAATTTAACATCAGTGCTAGACAACATGTCCCATCCTTGCAAGGGCTGTACTTGCTATTGGGAAGAATAGATAAGTAGGAGCTTGATTATTCACATTGACCTAGATTGCCATATCATATTTCCAATCTGAGAAGGGCCTGAATTTGGGCAAAGAGAAAGTCCTATGTGGGGACCATCTTTTTTCACACTACCTACTACGAAGCTCAAAAGAAAGGATTTAAACAACTGTAGTCTGAAAACAAAATTAGTTTTTCCAGCAGGTTCTAATATATATGGTAGTGTTGAAGACTGTCTCATTTTAAAGATGCTATTTGTGTTACTTAAAATCTCTTCTAAAACAGCAGTGCCTGGGTGGTTAGTCAATTAAGCATCTGACTCGATCTCAGCTCAGGTCTCAATCTCAGGGTCGTGAGTTCAAACGCTGTGCTGAGCTCCATGATGGGCATGGAACCTACATAAAAAAAGAAAAAATATCTTGTGAAACAGTAGCATACATCATTGAATTTTATATGGCATTAAAAACAAGAGCAGAATTTTCTATAGCATTAAGTTTAAGAATAACAGATCTCTAGTAAATTCAATATAGATATAAATTCTTGGTACACCTACTCTGAGAGATTAATTCACAAAAATTTATTGAGTGCTTATAATGGGCCAGACTTTGTTCTAATGCCTGGAACGTGTCAGAAAACAAAACATACAAAGATCTCTGCTCTTCTGGAGGGGGGATTGACAATGAAAAATCAGCGTAAGAAATAAGTAAATTATATAGCAATCTTGAAGTTCTATGGGAAAAAAAGTATGACAGGGTGGAGGGGATCAGGATTGCTGTGAACAGGGGGAGGGGCAGTCCTATTATTCAATAGAGAAATCAGGGTTAGGCCTCACTGAGAAGGTAAGGTTTGGAGAAAGATACAGTGTTTAAATCTAGGTTTGGGGAGTTGGGAAATTGAGATTCAAACCCTAGCCTGGTAATTGGCCCTGGTAACGTACCCTTATTTCTGCTTCCAATTTTGCTCTTCCTCAGTTAAAAAGAAAAATAGTGTTTCTCTAATTTATTAACATATTAGTCGCAGCTTCTTAAAAACAAACAAACAAGGAAAAACACCAAAAAATATAAAGAGAAACAAAAGTTCAGTCTGAGCCTAGAGCCTAAGGAACTGTTACCCTAAGCTAGCAATCTACCTTGGCTTCAGATACATGCCCCCAAAAGTGAGACATATTACTTTTTTGCAAACACCCAACAATGTCTGCCATAAGAGAATGAAAATATGATCCATAGCATGTTTGGAAAATTATTTGGAATCTTTCTCATGTCTCTATTTTCAAGTCCATCGTAGGTTTATTTTAGATAGGACTTCTTCCTTCACAATCAGTGACACCCTTCATTTGTGGTTGAGGCTAAACTTTTCTACATGAGTTCCAAGTTTGAGTATTTTCATGTAACAAACCTGAGATGAAGTTACAGGATCTTTCTTAAGATGAAAAAACAAAACTGAACTAAACTCTATTCTTAATAAGTGTTGACACATATTCATGACTCATGAATTTCTAATTGGTTTTCTTGAATTCCTGTCATGTCCTATTTGAGTGAACTTCATCCAGGCTATCTAGAAAACTGAGCACTTTTATGTTTACTGATGAGCAAACTAAAGCGTGTTAATCTTGAGGATCAATAACCGTAGTAGGCGGGATATGTCAGATTGGAATTCCAAAGTGTGCATTCTTTATGCTTCTTAGTCACGTTATGGATGCGAGAGGGGGGTTCCAGCTGGGACAACTACCATCCTACTGATTATGAGGTCAGGTTGGCTTGCTAACTGAGTGTCCCTTCATCGTCTCTCCTGTGTTTCCCCCCCACACACAGTAGGCCTAGTCAAAGGCAAGACCCTTCCCACAGAGGAACACTATTCACTCAAGAATTAGATAAGAGCACCCACTGGTTCTCACCTCCTTCTTCTATAGGAGATGCCTTGAACTATCAAAATTGTATAAACAATCTTGTTGGGGAATCAGGCGAATGTCAGATAACCAGTTCACTTGACTGCATAGATATAATTAGAACATTAATGCTTTCGTCGGAATACCAAAAAAAAAAATTGTACACAAATTTCAGTGCATTGATTTCTGGGAAATATATTAGTCCTGGAATATTTGAGAAAGAAAGTGTCAATGGCAGCTGTTTGCTCATATAGCAACTGATGAATAATCTTTTCTTGACAGGTACTTCGCATCAAGAATGTTTTGTCTGAGAAGCCTAAAATCAGCATTGAGTATGCCAATAATGGCTCTGTGATTCAGGGAAGCTCCGTGGCTTCTGTGTACCACGGAAAACTGCTCATAGGCACGGTATTCCACAAAGCTCTGTACTGTTTGCTCTAGACTCCAGACATTCCAAAAAGTCTTGTCAACCAGTGAAAGACAAAATGGCAAGCAGCAAAATAAATGTGTTTATTTGGGGTCTTCGGGATTGCAAACATGGGAGACATAGATTCGACTAGAATTGAAAGCGTGCCCCAGAGAGACAAAGGAGGTTGGAGTTTTTAAAGAGGAAAGAGGGGATTTATGTGAGTTGTTTGAAGAAAAGGTGCTTGGTGTTGGTATAGCTATAGTGACACTAATCTATGTGTGATCGGTTGGCAGGGCAGACAGAAAGTCCATTCATTCCATCTTAACACCTAGTAGATGGCTTGGCTATTAGTTGAGCTTAGCAAAAATTCTGAGAATTTGATACAGAACATGGGTGCATAAGTCCCACCTCCTCGACGTCTTCCCGGCTCCCTTTTAAATAACTCTCTTAGTAATGGTCACTCAATTTTATTGTCTCTGTTGTCAATCTACATGTTTGGTAAAAATAAACCTGTAATTAGGTGGCTCAGTCAGTGAAGCAGTGAAGCGTCTGCCTTCAGCTCAGGTCATGGTCCCAGGAACTTGGGATCGAGCCTGGCCTCAGGCTCCCTGCTCAGGGGGAGTCTACTTCTCTCTCCCTCTCCTTCTGCCTCTTCCCCAGCTTGTGCTCTCTCGCTCTCTCACTCACTCTCTCTCTCAAATAAATAAATAAAATCTTAAAAAAAAATAAACCCATAATTATATGATAAGTGGAATTGTACATAAATGACAAACACCAATAATAGTGTGCCCGGCTTTTCTTATGTGAAGAAGCCTAGCGATTACATAATATCCACCAAGTCCTAAGTCAAGTGAGTGACAGTCCAATAAGAAGCCAGACTTCTCAATGCTTTTTGTCCAGTATTCCCAATATTCTTTCTACAGTAAGATGTGTAAGCTGTGGTGAGCGAGGTATCCAGCTCACCCAGGGCTCCTTGCTAACCATGAAGGAAAACTACCTCCTACATCTGATGATCTGAGACTCCAGCTCAAATACTGACAATTCCCCTTCTCTTCCTTTGATTGTGCTAGGCACAAACTGCCAGTCAAGTGCCTAGGCCATGGATAAAAGCAAGAATTGGCACCATGAAACTGCCCAAAGCCCTCTTAAAACATGCAGTCTTTCCGGTACACACAGGAAATCAGATTCTGGAAAATCTGATGGAGACAGGCCTCACTGGCTACCTTAAGGTAGAACAGGGCTGATCTGTTCCTTTGTAACAAACAGGTCTTTATGTGTAGTGTTATCCGAGTCTAAAGTACTCTAATCAGCTTACATCTGAATCATGGGATGGGGCCTTAGGGCTATGACCTTCAACTGCTTTAAACCTGCCCTCTGGTTAATTCAGTACACACCCTATTAAGCAACATCCCACAGACTTCAACCTATAAATCAGAATTAAATAATATGGCTTTGGCTTAAAGTCCTATCTTAAGGACCAACTCAACCTTAGTTTGATAAGAATGAATGGAAATGTCCTGTTCCTGGTCAAAAACCAGGACAACCTTTAGCAAATCACTAATGGGAGTCAGTCTGCCCAAGCACCCCACCCTCTTCTTTTGTGACTTCACTGGGGAGTAGTTAGTTGAATTTTTCCCCCCCTCTCTTCTAGGGATGGGGAATTGAGGAGGTTTCTTTATTTCCTAACAATTTTTGCTCAATTAGATCTAAATTTTGCTGAAAATTTTGTATTGGGGTAAAACTCTACTATGTAGCCCATGCAACCCTTTCTGATTTAGACAGTAAGACTGTAGTTTCCATTGATTCAGGGAAGGGATGACCCAGCAGAATGTTCTAGTCGGTTCTTAGATTTTAAGTTTCAAAAGCCTAATCATCAGAGAGACACAGAAAAAAATAACTATGAGCAATAACTAAGATACAATTTCAAAAAAAAAAAAAATGTCTTTTCTCTGTCCCTAACCCTTACACCCAATAGATTATATACAGTTTATCAGACTAGAGGGAACATGGAAAGCCAGAGATGGGATGACTAAGGGCATTTAGATTCTGGTGGGTTCCTGAGAATTGGCCCTGCCCTGCCTTCTCCTCAGGCCAACTTAGGAAAAGCTGGGTGATAAAACCCCCACAGACATTTGGGGGATCTGACTGTTGAAAGACCAATGTGGGGCGCCTGGGTGGCTCAGTCGTTAAGCGTCTGCCTTCAGCTCAGGTCATGATCCCAGGGTCCTGGGGTCGAGTCCCACATCGGGCTCCCTGCTCGGCGGGAAGTCTGCTTCTCCCTCTCCCACTGCCCCTGCTTGTGTTCCCTCTCTCGCTGTGTCTCTCTCTGTCAAATAAATAAAATCTTAAAAAAAAAAAGAAAGACCAATGTGTCCTTTCACAGAGAGGGCTTAGGAAAGTCACAAGACTCTGGGGTTCTCCTTCATGTAGGTGAAGGAGAATGAATAGAAATGTCCCGTTCCTGGTCAAAACCCCCAATCTTTATGTGATTGTCTTGAGCCTCTTCTGTCACTTGGTGTGGGAAGGAGGAGGATTGTCCCTCCTAATAAATGCTGTATTTTGATGACTCATTGTAATTCCTTCTCTGGTCTCTCTGTTTAAATTGTCAGAGATGTGCCTGGGGATATAGGTGGTGATTAGGGGTAGTTCAGCTCAAGAAGGAAAATAATAAAGATAAGAGCAAAAACCTATATGATAGCCAGAGTCAAGATGACCCCCAACGATCCTTACTTCCTGGTATTCATTCCCTTGCATAGTTCTTCCCACACCAAATATGGCTGTCCCCTGTCATTGATAGGATATTCCAGAAATGATGATATGTGACTGTCAAGGCTAGGGTATATAAAAACCTTACCAATTTGACCTTGCTCACGAAAATTGTGCATCATGATAAAAGTTTCTGACTGTTTTAAAATGCTAAGCTCTGGAGTACTTTGTTATAATAATTAGTCAACTAATGAAACAGGAAACCATGTATCATGTAGAGATTCAACAAAAACCAAAAAGTTCATTCTTTAAAAAGATTAATAAAAACTAATACACATTTGGTGAGACTTATCAAGAAAAAGAATGGCTCAATTATCCAGTGTCAAAAATGAAAAATAAGACATGCAGATTCATAGACATTAGAGAGATAAAAAGAGGAGTCGATGAACTACTTTATGCCAACAAATTTGAAATTTTTATGAAAAGAACAAACTTCTAAAAAGAATATAACACTCTATTAACTAGGCTAAGACTAAATTATTATATAGAGCAAAAATACAATGCCTTTAAAAAAAATGTGTGTTCATTTGTCTTTCGTTTTCCAGTTCTTAGGAGAGTGATTGATGGGACAGCTTCCCTTTGATGGGGCCATTCAGAGACATCACTGGTCAGGATCTTGCAGGAAAGAGAAGACACACTCAAACAAGGTTATTGAAGGAAACTCTTTAAGGGGACTATTGATACAAGAGTAGGAAGGTTAAGGGAAATGAACAAGGTACAATAAAACACCCCAGTGCTAGCAATGGAGAGGGAGAGATGGGGGTGGGGGGCGGGAGGCGAAGGACTCTTTCTAACTATAGGTTTGAAGGAACAAGGTATGGAAGCAGCTACTAAAATCAGAAGAGAATAGATAAAGTAGAGACCATCGCAAAAGATGCTGTGGTCATTGGTAGAAGGAGGCAACCACCCTGTGACAACTCAGCAGAGAGAAACAGAGGAAATAATTATCTTGACTTAACTCCCCTTCATCCTCCCAACTAGAAGACAGAAGACAAGGGAGCTATTAATGGAGCCCATAAAGCCTCCAGGATGCAGAGCAATGGGGAGTAGCATAGAGAGTGGATCTTGAGCATCATGTTGTTGCACCATTGTTCCCAAGGGGATTGTAGTTATCTGCATGGTGAAAGCTAGGTCACCACCACATCTGTGTCCATCGAACTGGAAGGAGAAAGAGGAGAGAGGATGTCAAGGAGAAATACCCGGTGTGTTAAGACCCAGGACTAGAAATGGTAGTCATTACTTCTTCTCCCTTACTAATAGTAGGAACTAATCACGTGGTCACATGTAACTAACTACAAGGAAAATTGAGTGATGTTATATGACTGGAGAAGCATATGTTCCAGGAGAAAGGAAGAATAAATTTTAGGGAACAATTACTAATCTGGGCCACAGTCCATGCTTCAGCCACTAAATATCCCTCTGCACCCTTCTCCCTTGCCAAGGAACATAAACTAAATTTCTATCCAATTTCTGTATCCAGCTCAAAGCACAGGACCTCTGGGTGATGTTTTGACCTCTGCATTAGGTCCACATATGGCTGCATGTGGCAGCCCAGAAAATAAAATTATTGCCCCATACACACATCCAATTACAATGATTAAGTATGAACTAAAACACTCCTAGTGAAAGAAAGGAGGACTGGAAATACACTCAGCTCTGGAACAAGGAGATTATCCCACCAGAAGGGAGTTGAGAAGATGCCCTGTCTTGGCAATGATGTACTTTCCCGTGTTCTCTGTGATTCCAAATTTTGCCCCTTGGGAATGTTTCCTAGTGCTTTATGCTTTAAGGCCACATCTGAAGTGGATCTTGGAAATACTGTAATTTTAGTAGCCCCCTTCCTACAGGTATTGGTTTGAGAGTCCGAGGACATTTTCAGGCCAGGCTTTTGGTTGCTTTTGAAATGTAAGTACCTAAGAAACCCGATAGGCTTCTGCCTCTGTTTGTTTTCATTCAGTGCCATGTGTCAACAACAACACGCTCAGATTTCTTTTTGGAACATTGTTTTTAAGCCCACTTTACTTGTTGGTTTCCCTGTCTATCCATTGTTCTCATTTAAATGCTGTCTCCTTTGAGGCGATCTGAATAATGGGTAAAATGAGGCCATACATTAATATAATCTTCCACAGTGCTAGATCTCTTAGCTTTCCTAATTGGGAAAAGCTACGAGTCGTAGCAATCCTACCTCCTGCTGTTGGGGCACAGAACCAAATTTCTAGACCTTCTCAATAGTCTTCTGCTTTATGTCCACTAGTTTCTACCTGAGCACATATTTTCTTACTCTCTTCTATTACAAACATCAAAGAACAACCAACACACATCAATATTCT